CTATCCAGCTTTTAACGACTCAAACCGAAACTTGAGAGGTAATGATTCTTACCCATTTTATTCTGACCATCCGGGTTGATTCGAACAAATCATTTCAGGTCAGGAACATGCGAGAAAACGCTGTTCCGTTTAGAATTGAATTTTAACTTGATCTTAGTTTGAATTGTTTATATCCGTCGTGTTAGCAGTGGTCAACTTAATTCCCCAGATGATTATGAACTGCTGACGGAGTTATCTGGTCCGTTAGAGTAGTAGGAAAATGATCAGTTGTCATCCAATGTCAACATACCACGGAAACCCTTTCAAAGCACCTTAAAAAGGGTTAACTTTGTTGAGGTTCGTTGGTTGTGGTACAGACATCATGTCATTTTTGTATGATGAATCAATTTCTAAACACACGCTCTCTCTCTAAGGCCTGATTTGTGACAATAGTTCCCACCAGAATTTAAGGTGTAATTAGTTTGTTGCTATTTAATGTCCCTTCATCTTTTCCTGAAGTGTACCTAAAAGAGATTTAGGTTCTAACCGATTTCACTCCACTTCGATAATTCTGATTACTGGCTATGCATTATATGATGTTGTAAAAACTGAACATTATGCTAATGGTGTGATTTTAGCGGTGCTGTGTTTGATCGTGACAACAGGGTAATCATTGCAAAACAGAGGTAATGTATAGCGATTCCAGTAATGTTATTAGATTTTTCTTGTTTAGCAAACAGGCGGTATGATTGGATTTCTGCTCCCTCTGGGTAAATGTGTGAGCAATTCAATATAATAAGGAGATTAGAGTGAAGATTATATCCATACAGAGATCGTAATTTCAAGGCTCGNGGCTCGTTTGCGCTGCTACCCGATGCTTTCCTTTCCATATTTCCCTGTTTTCCACCCAATCGAGACATAAGGAATAGGCCACAGCAGTAGCAGCTCATTTATTAGAAGAAATCATGGGATTCTAAATAAAATGTACCAAAGAAGTTCGTTGGTCATCCAGGCATCTACCAATTGCGTACTCCTATTCCTGGAGTCATACAGCTTCTGTCTGGGCAGCATGGCTACTGATTGGTCGGCACAATCGGTCCATGGTTCGTAGTCTAGAAACAGTAGCGCATAGGCGCCTTGCTGGCTTGACTCATCACAGTTGTCCGGAAACTAGGATCACCAGAGTAACCGTGCCCCAACGTAATCTATGGAGATTGACCTCTTACTTCAGTGAGCGACTTCTTTTACCCCAAACTCTGCACCTAACCTCAGCATTGCTCTTTCGGTTACCCCACCATATTTCTGAAATGCTGTGTAGACAGCAGTGTTTGAATGCCAACAGTCTATTTTTATCCTGTTCCTATGTCAAGTTTCTGTGCTGCATGGCAGAACCACCGCAGCATACATTTGAGACTTTACAAAAAGCCAGAGTTCGGGATGGCGCCACAGATGTCTCAAGTAGGCATATGCCAACCGAGCATTCTGTATGCGAGCTGACACTTCAATCGTGATGCATCCACCCGGTGAGATATAGCTGCCCAAATAACCAAACTTGCTCATTTGCTTTATTACTACCCCAGTTAAGGTGCGCTTGGGTACTGGACTGACCCAGTCTTGAAGCAACATTTTACACCTTGAAGATGCAAAATGCATACCGAACACAGCTACGCTGGCACCTAAGCTATCCATAAAAGCTTGCAAACTAACTGAATCTTCACTTAGCAGCATAATGTTGTCTGTAAACTTCAGATCAAACAGTCGGCCATCTACGAGCCAAATGAAACCACACTCCTCTCAAGAGGATAGGGGTTCTTCCATAATCAGATCTCCAACAATGTTAAATGGAAAAGGAGACAGAGGGCAACTTTGACGAACACCACTTTCTGTAGTGAACTCGGGCGAAAAAGTGCCGTAAGCTCGGACTAGACTTCGGTTATCAGCATAAGGCGATTGTGATATTGAAATAAACTTCTCGGGCTCACTCTTCAGGGAAACCCAGTGCCAGCGTTTAGAGCGGTCGACTGAGTCGAAGGCCGCTTCCAGATCGAGAAACATAGAAATGGTGGGTCTACGAAAAGAATGTAGGTGCTCCAGAGTTTGACGAAGAGTAAAAATGTGGTCGATGCAACCTCGGCCAGGTCTAAAACTAGCCTGGATCTCACGCGCACACTCTTCACGTGCGGCAGACAGTTGATGGAGTATCATCCCGGCGAGAGGTTTAGAGGTAACGTTGATTAAACTAACTCTTATGTTTTTCACAAGAGGATATGTCACCGTTCTTGTAAATTGGTGTGACCACCAATTCACACCATTCAGTTGAAACCTGTTCCCTCTCCCAGGCTGAACCCAGGAGTTTTTTTAACTCCAAAACCAAGGCTCAACCTCTATCCTCAAGAGCCAATGCGGAAAGCCCATTGGGGCCGGAAGCCTTATACCTTTGGAGATAGATTACTTCTCGGATAGCCTCCATTTCAGATGGAGGACTGATGTCAACTGGCAATATTTGCTCAGTCCAGGTGGGGGTTTAAAGTTCAGAAGTCGGTGGGGGTCATTTGAGCTAAGTCTCGAAATGTTCATCTCATCGATCAAAAGGGCGCTGCTGATGGTGAATCAGATTCCTTAATTACCACACATGCCTATTTTGATGGGGTCCGTATTTCTAATCAGACGGAAAAGGTTGTGACTATTACCAATGGCCGCAGCATTCTTTATCTGTTCACACTTCCCTACCCACCAGTTCTCGCGGTCATTCCCCAGACTCTTGATGAACTGGCGGTTGAGAGATATGTGGCATCAAGAGGAAGTGTTCTACGGCGTCCTGCAGGGCAGTCGAGGTTCACGAGATCCATCGTTTGTGTTTTGAACCAGCGCCAGAGTCCGCCATTGTGTTAATGAATATTCAAATAGCTCCATCGATTTGCTTCCAGTGTTCATTGAGATCTTCGACTGGTAGTTGAGCTTATAGATTGGAGAGCTCCCATTCGAAGGATTATTTTCAAATATCGTTGACATAGTATCTTCGGTATCCGTTGCCGGTTGCTTTATTTCGGTTCTTTGCCAGGCATAAGAAGGGTTTCGCTCGTAGCAAAGCGTGGTCCGTATCCACTGCTGTTGACCAGTGAGAGAAGCAGTCTTCAGTGAGTTCTTGCCAGCGTTAACTGAGGGCGATGAGGTCGATTTGGGTCCAGCGCTGTGAAGAGGTTGGCGGCCTTCATGTAAGGCGGCGTCGTTTCTTGTACGAGAAGTTGGTGCTTGACAGGAACCGTCCGCGGTCCGTCCGGTTGGGACGGGTTGCATGTGGTCCACCAATAAGCCTTTCTGATTCGTCCAGGTATCGCACTTGAGCATTGAAGTCTCCGTCGACGTTCACGACGTCCGTTGATCGAACACTTTGAAGTCATTGCGAAAGATCCTTATAGAATTCATCCTTCATTTCAGATGTACTTTAATCGGTCGGTTCATACACCGATATGACGAATAAGCATCGACGCTTCGTTCTGTGGCTATTGACCTGTGCTGAACCGTTGAGACCTACAGAGCAGAGTCAGCTACTAACCGGGATCCAGTCGAGAAACGAACGCTCGACCTTGGCACTTAGCTTAACTCCGACACCAGTACCACCTCGAGTTACCGCACCGAGCCATCTGAAACACGAAAAGTTAAGCACCCGTTTAGGAGCTTCTAGAAATTTTTCACACAAGGCCATAGGGTTTCGGTTCAGTGTGTCATTCGCTGGTGCGTTGATTGTCGGTTCACTGTTCGGAATTGGCCCTTAGTTTAATGCACCCAATCAGACATCTTACTGATGCACATCTTAAAAGTTCTTGCGCATATCGTGCGGTACTCACATAGGTTAGGGGAAATTGCTGGGAGAGACGGAATTGCGAGGGAGTCAAATTTATTGCATACTTGAAATAAGAAAGTTCCGTTAACGGAAATGCATTCTTCC